TTTTTATTTTAACATTCTTCTCAATTTTATTTATCTTCATTTATTATTTTATTTTTTTGTATATATTTCACTGTTTAATATTTATCTTGACTTTTTAGAGACAACTTAAACCAATTAAAGATGAATAATTTGAATTGAAACTTTAAATTTCAATTTAAATTTCAAATTTTCGCAATGAAGATAACCGATAAATTAATGTTACCGAAAGGACAGTTCAAGGGTGCTAATCATTCCTTGACTGTAACCGACTCCCGAATCCGACATATTTTTAGGAAAATGCATATCAAGTAAGATGGTGTTCGATCAATCTAAATTTTGTTTTTAAAATAACCAGTGACGACTCTAACTAACTTATTTAAGTTGAAGCCCAATTCCGAGCTCATTCGAAAGACGGCTGCGACATATATCATGATAACATCATCAGTATCAAATGATGTTGTCTTAATGTTTCACATGTTCATGACTTGACAACATAAGTGGAATGCACTAAATTAGTTGAAAAAATTGAAAGTTTAAGTATTAAATTAAAAAAAATGCTAAGTACATAGGTTATATGTGTGTTTAATATTAAAATTTAATATTGGATCCTCATAAATAGGATGCGTTATTATAATACAGGAAAACAGATAAAATTTAAAATTAAAATAATTTTAAACAGGTTCTATACAGGATAATAGAATTTAAGGCAAAATAAATTAAAATAAAAATCATACGCAACTTACGTAGAATAGAATTTGAACCAGAAACATAAAATCCTCAGACTCCACCCTTATTATTTCTTTTCTATTAGATTAAGATAATAATAAAATAATATTTATTTAAAAAATTCTCAATTATTTCGTAATGAACGTCCTAACATCACTACAGACAATATTCTAAAACCCACCATATCTAAAATTAACAATAATTTATTTAACCATTTCAATCACATGATTCACACACACCTTAAAATTTCAAATAAAGACAACCCACTTTTAAAATTAGTTGTATGTGGCTATAAGTAAAGTGGTTTTGAGCCATACAATTCCAAACGGAAATGAAATCCGAGTCAGATTGATAGCTAGGCTTGGGATAAGGCTGCTGCCCCTTATCATTTTAAAACATAAATAACTAAGAGATAAAACAATTTTTAGTATCTAAATTTGGCTGCTTTTGTAATTTGATTATTAAATTTGGCTTCTTTTTATTTCTAATCATTTAATGACATAATATTTCGAAATTGTAACATACGGGTATAATCATAGAATTATATACCATCAAAAAAATAAAGTTTAAGAAAAAAATGTGGATTTTTTGAAGGATCAAATTAAAAATTATCAAGTTCAAGACTAAGAAAACTTTATCCCACTAATCAATTGAATAGTTGTCACACCCCAATTTAGGTGCTACCTTTTTCTTAATATCGGTTAAATTTGAAGACCAAAATGAATTTCTAATTAAATTCGGACCAAATTTGAAAGATAAGATATGTTGGAGGACCCCATGCATAATTATAACATTTTCTAAATGTGTTGGTTTAAAACCCAAAATATGAAAGTTTCCACTTCTGGAAACCCGAAACCTCTCTCACTTTCAACTTTCCTGTTTAGAAACTTTTAGCCAAGAAACTTTAAATTTGTTTCACTTCCGATTGAAGCTCCGTTTTCTATACCTCTCATACCATCGTGCCCTTCTGTCGTCCTAAGTCTATCGTTATTGGTTTTGTCGTCATTGTCGCCATTGTATGGAGGAGTGAGATAGTGCAAGTGTTCTACGATTCGTAATCGAGCTCTTCGTTGTTCAACATTGTGAACCAAGCTTGATAAGTGTCTCAAAACCCCTTAAAATACAATATTTTAGAAAATTTTCGCAATTTTTTGGCCACTCGAAAGGTCGCATGTCCACCACCTGGTGGGGTTCTAGAAGCGCCGCTGTGCATGGGGCTTGTCCACCACCTGGTGGACTTCTAGAAGCGAGTCAACCCGACCCGCTGACCCATCCCAAAACCCATTCTGTAACATCCTAATCCATTACAGTTTGAAGATCGAAAAATTAGTACGCTACATCGGATCACCGAAGTAGTTAACCTAAAATTTTTCTTTTTAAAACAACTAAATTATCCATAATAATAATAAAATAAAACCATAGTATTTGATTTACAAAATATGAGATCCCAAATATAACTCAATTAAGTTTAATCAATATTTTTCAAAACACAGTTATGACTCAAATACAACAAGGTCCATATATGATACATGCCCTCATAAATATAATCAAGACGTACTCAAAAAGCTGAAGTTGGCCTGAAAAACAGACTATGGGATGGCTCCTTGAACGCTCCTCCTAAGAACCTGCGCATGGAAACAAATTTCGAACGTTGAGCCCACAAGCTCAGTGCCACACTAACAACCAAACTATACTACATGCGTCCTCTACGTGCACATGCTAGTAAACATAACTATTAACATACAAATATGCTAAGCTACCATATATACAGAGGTAGGCATCATGTGTTGGATTAAAATTCATAATTATGGGAACATATTTATTATGTATATTGTTATCGTAACATATGACATAAATTAAGTGACCAATTATGTTATAAAGTTATAAGGTATTAGAAGTGTCATGGAAGTAAAAGTGTAGATACTATTAAAGTTGTACTTATAATTTGATGAGAGGCAGAGTTATGAGCACACACAATAATTGATTCTTAAATCAGCTATATAAAGGGGTTATGGTCCCCAAGAAATAGACAATCTCGTACTTACTCTTATCTCTGTCAGAGAGTTTATACTTAAAGGGACTCTATCTTCTTGGAAGATCACAACCAAGGAAAGATTTAAGGATTTCAACATATCAATTAATTTAGGCACGCTTTCGCATCTAGTATTTTTATTCTTGATGATTTGACATGATTAGATCCTGACTTTTTTTCCATATTTATTATGATTTTGGTTCTAACAAGTGGTATCATCACCTCGTTATGTTGAATTATTGAGTACTAATTAATTTATTTTATGGATTGATTTATTCTTATAATTCTATGGTTTTAATATGTTTCTTTGGTGATTGGATTACGTTTGGATGTTGAAATTTTAAGTTTAGTGATTTACTTGATTCAATCCTACTTTAATTATTGTAATTGTGTTTTATTGATTTTCTTGCCTTGGTTATCGTTAGTTTATTACTATGCGATTAAAAATTTCCTAATCGATGATGTTTTTTTGGGCTTTTTATAATGAATTGATTTGTTTATTTATGGAATATATATATATATTTTGTGCGATTAATATTCCCGAAACTTTGGTTTCAATTTTTTTGTACGATTAATACTCCCAGCGTTATCTTTACTTTAATACCAGGAGTATGTCTCCTTACCAATCTTTGTTTTTGTCGTTATATATTGGGGATGAAAATGGTTATAAATTATTTTTGATTTTACAACCCATTTATCGTTATTTGAGGAGAATGCTTGGATCACTTTCAGTTGAATATGCATATGGATTACACTGTTGTTTTCTAAAAACTTATTTTCAATGCCGTTATATTATTATAATTTTTTGATTTTATAAATAATATAATGTCATTATGGAATATATATAAATTAAAATATATATCCAATTTGATTTTGACTTTTGTATCACGTTTTGGTTTAATTTGGTGAATCAATGATTAAGAAATTTTTGTGAAATAGTAAAAAAAAATAGGCTTTCGGTTTCTAATAACGTTTTTTAGACTATCTTATTATGAGTTACTTTAGAAATCATAATGTGATTAGAAAATTCAATTTTAGTTTTTTACTGTTATGGATTATAAATATATATTTGGTATTAATATGTTCGATTCAGTTTGATTAAAGGTTTAATTCACTAGTATGTACTTTGACTTTTGGTTAAATATTGATTATTTTGAATTTCAATTTGTTTTTTTTTTCCGGGTTTTCGGTTTTGATATATATATATATATATATAATTAATTCATATTATGACTATATTTGATATTTGATAGATTAGTTGAAACATAATGTAACACCTCTTTCCCGTATACGTCTACGAACACGAGTCAGAGATGTCACATGCTTTTAAAATAATTCTTGTATTCTAAAAATAGTAAAATTTTATTTCTTTAACTAATATTGTTTAATAATATATATATAAAATGTCATTTAACTATTAATGTATAAAATAGCATTTATAACTATCATGTAGTAGTTTAAGTTCGATGATAAATATAATAAGACAAACCATAGTTCAAATACTCCTACTAGAGCATCATAACACAACTAAGTATTCCAACTAGTAATATCAAAAGAATATCTAGACATGTCATATTGTTACTGATGAGGCAACCCTTGACAGATGATATGAGTTACACTCCCCACTTCGATCGTACTATATCACCTACGCGTGAAACAGTCACACGCTAAGTATTCACTTAGTGAGACAGTAAAATAAATAGGTATTTTAGAAACATAAGTAAGTCATAAAAGATCAAAACATAATTTAAATCGTAAAAAATATTTAAACGCATAAAACTGACTTATTAAGCCAAGTCTTTAGTCTTACAACCTGCAAAATATTATTTCATACCCCTAGCATATTTTGTAAATCAGAGTAATAAAAATTCATTTATAGCCTAATGTATGAAAGATGAGAATGCATGACACATAAAACGTTTCTAAGTGCTAAACGAAAGTACAAGTACTGCAGTACACAACAACACTATGCTGGTAGATCAAAATGGTGATTCACCACATAAATCATTATGAACACCATCATTGCACACATATAACCTGTAATACTCTAATTTTTTCCGGACCATTTGAATTCATTTGAAGACGATCGGGAATTAATTTGGAGACAATCGTGCTCAATGAGGATTTAGTTCAAAGGATGAATGGAAGCTTGCATTTGGGGTTAACATGAAAATCAAGAAACTTTGGTGCTTAATTGGATTGAAATCATATTTATTTCATTTTGGAATTCAAGAAATAAATTGAAGCCAAAATTCAATCCCAAACTCAAATTAAAGTGTTTAAGGTCACTTTACAAACCCAAATTAATTACAAGAGTAGGCCCAAGTTTGCCCGATTGGAGCCCGATTCGACCCGGTTTGATCACCCACAATAGTAGCACATGCTGCCCACGTGAAGACCATTCTTTGTTGCCCATTCTGGTGCCATTTCCAACCTTGGCGTGGAGCATCACGCCCAACAACACTCACTCAACAGCACGGCCACCCATGCTGTCTATGCACCTCGTGAAGATCCCATGTTCCTGCAAAAATACAAAACATTAGCATATTCAATACATGATGTGGGGGCAGCATATTATGAGGTAATAAAAAAATATTAACAGATTCATTATCAGGTCCCAACACCACCTACCAGTGCCTGTCGGTCACTCACCGAAGCCACCACCATCGTCCATAATCACTTTGCTCGAGCCCATAACCGGAAGAATTGGTTTTTGATTTCAAAAGAGACTATGGGGGTATAATACGATCAGTCACGAACAGCAGAGGGGGGAATCACACAAGAAAAAAAACGATTAGCACAGGGAGGGTTTTCACGATCATCAGGGGGAGAGGATTACATTGTGAGCAGATTCATTGTAACAGAAAAAGGATGTAAGCGTTCTCATTTTTTTCACAGAAAATAAAAGCTAGAGTTTGATTTTCGAAGCTATCTTTACGATTCTTTCGTGAGTTCCTTCTTTTTATTTTAACATCGATTCCAAATAAACAAAAGGATCATTATTGAGGGGATTCAACCAAAAAAACACAAAATAACCTAAAGCAAAATAATCGAAACCCATCATCGTTAGCCACCGTCAAGCAAAACCAAACCAAAGGAAAGGGATAGGTGCGTACCTGGTCTGTTCGAGTGTCGCTGAAGGTGAACCACTGTATCCGGAGTTGGGCGAGTTTGTGGTGAGTTGTTTGCACCCTTGCATGTCATTTTTTCGGTTTAGTTACCATTTATCGGGATTTCTAAAATAAAAATAGAAAAAAATAATAATAGAAGAGGGGTGGTCGTTTTACCTTGCCGTTGGTTCCTGTCGTAGTAGTTCGTCGGAGATAGAAGTTGATGAAGGGACGAGGGTTATTCGCGTTGTTTAGGGGTCGGTTTAGTGAGTTTTAACTTAGGGTTTCTGGTCTAGAGGGAAGATTGAGGTGTTGAGTTTGGTTTAGGACTAGTTTCCAGGGCCACAACCACGGTGGCCGTTTGCTTTGAAGAGAGGCGCCGTTCGTAGGGAAGAAGAAGGAGAGAGTGGTTGAGTTTGTGTTTAGTTGAGTTTAGGGTAAAGTTAGGTTTTATATAATAGAATTTAGGTAAATTAGCTTTCTAGTCACCGAGTCTTTAGGGTAAAACTATTATTAAATCCCCCTGTTTTAGCGTTTATTCGCATTTTGGCCCCAAGTATTAGTGTATCTAATTTTTGCTGTTTTTATACATTTCACTTTTAATTTTGTTTTGTTTCATTTTAGTTCCTAGGTAGAAGTTTGCATGTTTATAATTCTTTCTATTTATTTTTTAGCTCATTTTATTTTGTCCTAAATTTATATTTTTCTTTCAATTATGTTTATTTTCGAATGTACCCTGTAATTTTGGTTATTTGGCAATTTAATCACTTAGTAGGCTTGTTTATTCTAATGGGTAATTTCTATTTTTTATGCCTGATTTTGGTTCTCTGTTATTTTCATCCTGTATGGCAGCATTAAATTTAAGATTGAGTTTTAACAGTAGATTTATTTTTGTTTATAAGTAATGGCATTTATTTTATTACGTTGTATGTGGTATGCACATTTTGTTATGTATGTATTAAATAATTACATTTTAATTCCAACCTTAAGCGAATGAGATTAATATTATATTTGAAGTTATTAATTGGTTTAGCATAAAAGATATTGGTTGCATGCTAGCATAACCATAACAAGTTTAATTTTTTTAGTATATAGTTACATGTGCATTTTAGACTCAAATGTTCATTCAAATGTGTTGCATAATCTAATTAGTTTTTGCATGATATCCTCATGTGCATAACTTGACATTATTGCATAATTTGACTAAGGGTAATATCCTTTTTGTTTAAAAACGTTCTAAGTGGGTTGTCTTAACTGATTAGAGGTCCGCTTCTAACGATTTTAAATTAAAAAGTGTATTCCATCAGTGACACCTAAGAAATTTATTCATCACTTTAAAATTTGGGGAATGGAAGAAAAAGAAATATTCGACTATTTAAATCTATCGAGAAAAGGTTGTTATAACTGATTTAAGATATGGTCTCGGTATTTTTAAATAATCGAATATTTTTTATCTTTCTAAAGGTTGGGTAATTTTAATTTAATCTATTTTGGTGCTTTCGAATATGATAAAGTTTGTATGTCATTGTTTTGTTAGGGATCATAAATCAAATTAAAATCGAACTTGTAAATTTCATTGCAAAGACGTTAATTAATCGACTAGGTACCGATTTAAGGTGCTGTGGGGTGCTAATCCTTCCCCACTCGTAATCGACTCCCAAACTCAAATTTTGGTAACGCATACCTAAATTTGTTGTTTTAATTAAAAATAAATTTTATTTAAAATGGAAAAAAAATTTGGTGCCCAACCACACCTTAATCAAAGATTGGTGGCGACTCTTCGAACCTGCATTTTTATCGTGAATGAATTCCCAAATTTTCGAAACGAGAGGTTTTTCTAAAATCAAACATAAAGAGAATAATTAAAGATGACTCAATTTTCGAAATCTCACTCCCACGCTTTGAAAAAAAATCGTTTCGACAGCTGGCGACTCCGCTGGGGATTTGTTTAGAGAGTCATGCCTATAGTTGATTAATTAATTGTCTTTGCAATTGAAAGTTATAATTTCGTTCTAATTTGGTTTTTGATCCCCTGTTTGGTTTTAATATAGTTTGTTGGTAATCTGATTAACAAATAAATAGTTGTACTGATCTGTTTGCTATTGGTTTCAGATTAATCATGTGTTTAAAGAGGATTGATTTTTTGAGTGTTATGTGATTATGTATTGTTTTATTTTCACTTTTCCTCACAAACTGCACAGTTGCATTTGCATAACATGAGCTAAAACCCCGCTTCGTCCTATTTAAGTAGGAGTGAGAGATTACTCCAGCGTGTGGGTTTCACCTCCGCATGGGATAGTGGATCGCTCCTGGAACTCACGCCTTATGGTCCTCGTGATGGTATTCACCTACGCATGGACATAATGAGGTGTGTTCCCTCTAAATTGAACTTGGTCCTAAAAGCCTGTGATGGGCTAGGATTGAGGGTTCGGTAGCCTAAGGGGGCACCGGCAAGGACAATTCAAGAACCTATTACTTTAGAACCTAACCCAGTATATAGTGAACTTAGAGCCCAAACTTAGGTCGAGATTGACCCGAACCTTAGGAGTCCCGTGAGGAGGGTACACAAGGAAATGTTTTTGAGTCATTTATTTTCGCTTTTTGAATAAATGTATGCGAACTAGAAATCGTGCGGTTGGGATTATTTTCTCGAACAAGCATGCGAATTAGATATCATGCGGTTAGGATTTTTTGTGAATGACAAAGCATGGGGGTAGATATCATGTTGGGTAAGATCTACTAAGCATGATTGGGTAGTCAGCATGTGAGGGTAGGTTTTATTTGTTACGATACTCATCATTTTGTTGTTTATATTATGTGTACTAACCCATTTTGGTTTTATGTCTATTTTATTTGAGATTTATTGCATTTGCATCTTCATGTCATCCAAATGTGTTAATTCGCAAGTGATTGGTTAATAAGAAAGTTGGTCATAATGAGGCAAGAAATTCTTAACCATATAGTCAAAATCGGGAGATCCAGATACATTCAAATGATTCATGAAGAAGGACATCCGATGATTGAAGAAATCTAAAACTGATCGAAGACATATCCATGAAGAAAGATATCTGATGAATGAAGTTTGAAGTTGATCAAAGATTTCTTTCAAAGGAGCGAAGGCCAAAGACGTTCCCTCAGGAGATAGATGCAGTAATGCCAAGGACGAGAAGACCCTTCACAAAGACATGAAAACCACTTTGCATTGAAAGTAAAAATGGAAACCTCAAGATTCAATTTAAGGACATCCGACGTCATCAAAGGTGATAAGATACGCCGACAACTTTGGGTACTATGTTGAATTCCATGAATAGTACGGTACAAGAAAATGAAGAAATGAAGAATCGTAATTGTATTTTGACTCTATGGTGTAATGAAATCTTGTTGTCTAAATGAAGGTTGTTCTATGGTGGTCACTTTTGGAATTAACACATTTTGCATTTGCATTTGCATGTATTTATTTAAGCATTTTATATGCATTAATCATGAACACATGGAAATAACTTATGGGAGGTTATGTGACAGTAGTACCAAGATCATTCATTTATACTACTCCTCATCATCATGAGCAAACAAATGGAAACAATGGAGCAATCTCATAAGAAATTACAAGATCAGTTGCAAGAGTAGTTGGTCGGGTTACAACTAGATATGAGGAATCAAGCATCAGGTTCTCTGCAAGACGCATCGAATCAAATGATCCAGTTGCTCGCACCACGAGCTGTTGGTAAAGAGAAAATAGATGATAAAGGAAATCAATCTCATCAGACTGGTACATCAAGAGTGATAATTTGCCCTGGAGCATCTAACTCACACCTAGGGATAAGCTTCGTCAATTTTGGGCAATTTGAAGACGAGATCAAGTGGTTTAATGAACCCGTTAAAGATATGAAGGTCGTTAATGCCTCTCACAAGGAGTTAGAAGCTAGGGAACTCAGTTTGGTCCCTGATTTGGTCATCCCACATGAATTTAGGGTGCCTAATTTTGAGATATATGATGGCACTAGTTGTCCCTTGAGTCATCTGAAAATGTTTTGCAGAAAGATGGAAGAGTACTTAAATGATGATAATCTGTTGATTCATTACTTCCATGATAGTCTTGCTGGGCCAATGGTAGTATGGTATAATCGCTTGAACAGAGAGCATATCAAGACATGGGTTAATCTAGCCGATGCTTTTCTAGGACAATATCGATATGTTAAAGGCTTAGCCCCGAAACGTCATGACCTTCAAAGGATAAGGATGAAAGCTACTGAGAGCTTTAAAGAATATGCCCTAAGTTGGAGAGGAGTGGCAGCACAAGTTCAGCCTCCTATGCTAGAAGAAAAAAATATCATGTATGTTTCACGATTCTCTTTCAGCTCCTTTCTTTGAGTTAATGCTGGGAAATTCGATAAAGGGCTTCAAGGATCTTATGCTGGCTGGAGAGTTAATTGAAGATGCAATCAGCAAAGGAAACTTGAAAGTCACATCCAAACGTCCAACCGATCAAAAGGAAAAGGCTGATGAGGTGAATGAATGTCACATCTAGAACTCCTACAATCGCAAAAGAAAAGGGGCATCAGGTTACTCGAGTCGTCCAAAGAAAGTCCCAAGATCGAAAAATACTTTGAAAGTGTTCCAAACTTCTATCTCATATCTGTATCCCCATTTGATTAAAGGTTAATACCTCGCACCGAGACCAGTGAAAGTGGAACCAGACCCTTCTGCTCATAGCTATGATCAAGATAGTGCATGTGATTTTCACTTAGGAGCATTGGGGCATTCTACGGGAAATTATAGGCCGCTGTTAAAGGAGATAAAGATGCTTATGGAAAATGGGACGACAACACAAGAATTGGTGAAACAGTGGATGATTAGCTCAAGTAATGGGGCATCCTAATTAGGAAGAAATCATTTCATGAAACTTTATATAATTTGCAACATCTTGTTTGAACATGTTTTTTAGACTTTCTCATCAATTTTTTTTGTAATGATATTTAAATGAGTTCATGTTACTTTAAGGATAGTGAGCATTGAATCGAACTTATGACTTGAAGTTCTTTGAATATAAATTGAATTAAAAGTTCTTTAATAATGATGAGCTATAAATCTTTGACAAGATGACAAGGTTGAAACCTGATAAAACAAGGACCCTGGACTTATCCCCAGAAGATACAATCAAACATTATACCTTTCTATTGTAGGGACTGATATAGCCTTCTCCTCTTAGAAGGAAATGAATAATAGGCTTGGTATTCAGGTATGCATAGGAGCGGACAACATGGGGCATCTTTTGTGTATGACATCATAAAACTGTCTAGACCATACTTTTGTTGACGACGTTCGATGATGATTATGATCTTTACGGATGGAAAAATCGAGTAGGTGAATCTAGTTTTTGAGATGAGATTTTTTGACTTTCAACAACACGTAGACTATGACAGGTTCTTCTTGACAAGCTTAAGAAATTGGATCCGTATACCCATATTATAATATTATATGTATACAATAAAGCTGAGCTATTCCGCGAAGGTAATTGGTTATAGAGGAAACTCGAAAGCCATGGCTTTATGAATAGATTATATTCAAACCATGACCTTGATCGGGGTACTTGGCAATTCGGTGTATGCTCCACTGTGATTGTCAAGTCAAAGACTTTGTGATGAGATGAACCCTTCAGCTAGCCCGATAAAAGGCAAATTACAATAAAGCTGATTTCAGCTAGCCAGAAAATGGCAAATTAAATCAATTTTATAAATAAGGAGTTTCGGTAAAAAATGGACTAAGGGAGTTAAGGAACACCTGTTATAGTCGATTTCACACGAGCACACAAGAATTTCATTTTTAGATCGATATTTCTGCACCGCCTTTGTTAGAGGAGCTTACGAAGCTTGAACTAATGGAAGATTTCAGAGAACTGAAATAGAAGTGTTCTAGAAAGTCTAGTAATTGATTACACTAGTTGCGTCATTTTGTCCGCATCCGATTAAAGTACCAAGCCAAGAAAGAAGGACATGTTGCGATGTTCATAATGATCAAGAAAGAAATGACATTTCGGTGGTCAAAACCTTAGAAAATATAAAGTCAACCCCTCAAATTTTGACGCTTGTCAAATAGCTATAACCCTAAAAATATTAAAGAGCTATTGATTCTTTTGATATTTTATGAACTCATGTTTATGATTTGATTCGATTGTGAGCCTGAATTAAGGGGCAATGTTTTATAAAATTCCTTCATTCTTTGATCCCTAAAATAAGAGAAAGGGGAAAAACATTTTCAAATATGACAGTTCAAATGTGAAAGGTCCTTGAAGATGGTGAGGCTCATTATGCCTCTATTGGAGAAAAAGAATAAGCGATGCCAGAACATGAAGCAATCTGCGATCTTGAAGCAGATGGTCTAAGAGATCAGAATGGATGAAGGATAGAAATTGTAATATTTCTTTGTGACGCTGTTAGTAACCCATCAAGAAGAATATGATCTCATTATTCAGAAGGGGCACATATTCTAGCTTGTATGAAGAGAAGAATTGATCAATTCTTAAGTAGTATGAAGAGAAGCCCTCAAACTATTTGACAACACTACTGTATAGTGACACCAGAATGAGAACATTCAAGTTAGGATATATTGGGGCACGACTGAACCCACATCATGTTGAGATGACAAGATTCAAACCAAGAAAGCCTGAAGAATGAGCCTTACAATTTGAGGTGATGGGGCATTTTGATGGCCTGTACCAGTATAAGATAATGTTGGGGCACGACTGAACCCACATCATGTTGAGATGACGAGATTCAGACCAAGGAGGCATGAAGAATGAGCCTTATAATTTGAGGTGATGGGGCATTTTGAAGGCTCGTACCATGTTGGGGCACGATTGAACCCACATCATGTTGAGATGATAAGATTCAGACCAAGAAGGTATTAAGAATGAGCCTTACAATTTGAGGTGTTGGGGTATTTTGAGGGCCCCGTACCAGTATAAGATAATGTTGGTGACACTAGTGAAGATATGTTTCAGCTAAAAGTATTAATGTGAGACATTTTGGAAAGCCCACATTGACCTATAGAAAGATCATTTAATTGAACAGATAGTTTCCAATGAGATAGAAAGTACGAAGAATGAAAATGGTGAAACTATGACAGTGGAATTTACCATATATGATCATTTTGTCCATCATCGCTTGCATTATTCTAGTGATTTCACATGCATTAATGTTGGCGAGCCAAAATATCCCACTTTAATCTCCATTGAGTTTTGGTATCCTTGTAATACCATACAAAAACTTCGAAGGCTATGCAAAAGAGCTTATTTGGTTGAAGGATAGGGGCAGAAGCCACAGGAAAAATGAATGTGTTGTCGAGTGTTTTACGAACCAGTAAATATGGAGCTGAATCAGTGTTACGATTAGGTGTTATTTCCATGACCCAAGATAAGGGTTGTTTTCTACAATCCCAAGATTAAAAAGGAGAATTGATGAAGATTTATTTCCAAGGAAATGTCGATATAATTTTAAACAACAAGAAACTAGTGAAACCAACTAAGGTTGAATGATGGGCAATTGTTAAATCTCCCAACATGATATGGTATAAATGAGCCTTGTTTGATATATGATTAGATGTGGTGACATGAAAATCGGGATAGATCCTCCTTGTGATACGTTGCAAGAGTCAAATCAGAATAGACACATCACTCACTTCGATCTTTACGGAGTTTGGCCTAGTCATATGCATAGTCTCCAAAAATGGAGGAATATAGTTATATTTCTGACCATAGCAAGAAGTTAAGAGAGGAAATGTTTCCTCCGAAATGGTGATAGAAGACAAAGAAGACATGAAGATAGAAGAAGATTAAATGGATCTTCAAAGATGCAAGTTGGAAACTATGAGTTACTACACGGGTATATGAAGTAGACCCTTGATCTGGAGCCAAGTGAAGATTGATTCAACATTTATGCATTCATGAAAACATCATTTGCATAAAAGAAAATGCATTACACTAATACATTTAATTGCGCTAGTGTTTCATGCATAAACACATGATTTTGACAAATCTTCCATTGAAAAGAGAAGATGCAGGATGTTAAAATCTCGATAATTGAAAAGAAGATTTCAAACCTCAAACGTAAGGAATCACATTTAGAGAGGCATACCCTGAAGAATTGAGAGGTCTAATCCACAAAAGAAGCATTACTCTGAAGTGATGACCATCAGATATAGAAGAAAAACAAAGATTTTTATGTATGAAGAAGTGAATCGATCGATTGGAAGGACTTGCACACATAAGATTGGGGCAAGTCAATTTTAAGCCTTCACCGAAGAGTAGCGAAGCAATCATCTTAAGCCTTCACCGAAGAGTACTGAATCAAATAATTTTAAGCCCTCACAGAAGAGTATTGAAGCACCATCTTAAGCCTTCACCAAAGAGTAGTAAAGCAAACAATTTTAAGCCTTCACAGAAGAGTAGTGAAGCACTATCTTAAGCCTTCACCGAAGAGTATTGAAGCAAATCCATCAGTATTTCTTTCGAGCATGATGATTAAATCCTTCTGGTCATTTGTAAGCCTTTAGAGCAAGATGATAAGTCCTTCGGGCCATCCATAAGACCTTCGGGCAGGATGTTTTCATATGAAGTTGAAAATGAGAAAATGATGTTTTAAGAAGATGAAATTTTTGAAAACTAAGAAGATGATTTCCAAAATTTCACACTTAGTAAGTCCTTCGGGCCATCAATAAGTCTTTCGAGCATGATCATAAGTCCTTCGGGCCATCCATAAGACCTTCGGGCAAGATGTTTTCACATGAATTTGAAGAATGAGAAAATGATGTTTTGAGAAAATGAAATTTTTGAAAAGTAAGAAATGTTTCTTACCTAGTAAATTATTTCCAAAATTTATAAGTCCTTCGGGCCATCAGTAAGTCTTTTGAGCACAATGCTTAAATCTTTTGGGTCATCTGTAAGCCTTTTGAGCAAGATGATAAGTCCTTCGGGCTATCCATAAGACCTTCGGGTAAGATGTTTTCAAGGGAATTTGAAGAATGAGAAAGTGATATTTTAAAAAAATGAAATCTTTGAAGAGTAAGAATGCGATTTCCAAAATTTCGCACCATATAAGTCCTTCGAGCCATCAATAAGTCTTTCGAGCATGATGATTAAATCCTTCGAGTAATTTGTAAGCCTTCACAGAAGAGTAGTGAAGGAAACCCATCAGTAAGTTTTTCGAGCATGATGATGAAGTCTTTTCGTCCATCAGTAAGTCTTTCGAGCATGATGATTAAATCCTTCGGGTAATTTATTAAGCCTTCAAGGAAGAGTAGTGAAGGAAATCCATTAGTAAGTGCCATCAGTAAGTCTTTTGAGCATGATGATGAAATCCTTCAGACCATCAGTAAGTCTTTCGAGCGTGATAACTAAATCATTCGGGTCATTTGTGAGTCTTTCTAGCAAGATGATAAATCTTTCGGGTCATTCATAAGACCTTCAGGTAGGATGTTTTTCACCAAGATGATAAGTCATCCGAGCCATTTTAAGCCTTCTCAGAAGAGTGTTGGAGCAAGCCACCAGATCATCAAATGTGGAAAGAAATCGAAGAATCCTGAGTATAAAGAAGCAGAACAATCGATTAAAAGGTTTTGTGCACGTGAGATGGAGGCGAAAATCAAAAGAAGACTGAAAAAAGGGAAATGACGTCGTAATCAGACAAAATTTGGTCATTATTTGTCTTTGCTGCGTTATTGTGTTCACAACAACGAGCAAAGAGGAGCAACTGTAATATCCTAATTTTACCCAAACCATTTGAATTCATTTGAAGATGATCGAGAATTAATTTGGAGACAATCGTGCTCAATGAGGACTTAATTCAAAGGATGAATGGAAACTTGCATTTGGGGTTAACATGAAAATCAAGAAACTTTGGTGCTAAATTGGATTGAAACCATATTTATTTCATTTTAGAATTCCAGATATAAATTGAAGCCAAAATTCAATCCCAAACTCAAATTAAAGTGTTTAAGGTCCCTTTACAAACCCAAATTAATTACAAGAGTAGGCCCAAGTTTGACCGATTGGAGCCCGATCCAACCCGGTTTGATCACCCACAATAGTAGCACATGCTGCCCACGTGAAGACCATTCTTTGCTGCCCATGCTGGTGCCATTTCCAACCTTGGCGTGGAGCATCACGCCCGACGGCACTCGCCCATCAGCACGACCACCCATGCTGTCCATGCCCCTCGTGAAGACCTCATGTTCATGTAAAAATACAAAACATTAGCATATTCAATACATGATGTGGGGGCAGCATATTATGAGGTAATAAAAAAAATATTAACAGATTCATTATCAGCTCCGAACGCCACCCACCAACGCTTGTCGGCCACTCACCGAAGCCACCACTGCCGTCCATAATCACTTTGCTCGAGCCCATAACCGACAGAATTGGTTTTTGATTTCAAAAGAGACTATGGGGGTATAATACGATCAGTCACGAACATCAGAGGGGGGAATCACACAAGCAAGAAAAGAAAACAATTACCACAGGGAGGGTTTTCACGATCATCAGGGGGGAGAGGATTACATTGTGAGCAGATTCATTGTAACAGAAAAAAGGATATAATCATTCTCATTTTTTTCACAGAAAATAAAAGCTAGAGTTTGATTTTCGAAGCTATCTTTACGATTCTTTCGTGAGTTCTTTCATTTTATTTTAACATCAATTCCAAATAAACAAAAGGATCATTGTTGAGGGGATTCAACGAAAAAAACACAAAATAACCTAAAGCAAACCAATCGAAACCCATCATCGTTATCCACCATCAAGCAAAACCAAACCAAAGGAAAGGGATAGGTGCGTACCTGGTCTGTTCGAGTGTCGCTGAAGGAGAACCACTGTCGCCAGAGTTGGGTGAATTTGTGGTGAGTTGTTTGCACCCTTGCATGTCATTTTTTCGGTTTAGTTACCATTTATCGGGATTTCTAAAATAAAAACAGAACAAAATAGAAATAGAAGAGGGGTGGTCGTTTTACCTTGCCGTTGGTTCCTGTCGTAGTAGTTCGCCGGATATAGAAGTTGATGAAGGGACGAGGGTTATTCGCGTTGTTTAGGGGTCGGTTTGGTGAGTTTTAACTTAGGGTTTGTGGTCTGGAGGGAAGATTGAGGTGTTGAGTTTGGTTTAGGACTAGTTTCCAGGGCCACCACCACGGTGGCCGTTTACTTTGAAGAGAGGCGCCGTTCGTAGGGAAGAAGGAGAGAGTGGCTGAGTTTGTGTTTAGTTGAGTTTAGTTTAGGTTTAGGGTAAAGTTAGGTTTTATAGAATAGAATTCGGGTAAATTAGCTCTTTAGTCACCGAGTCTTTAGGGTAAAACTATTATTAAATCCCTCTGTTTTAGCGTTTATTCGCATTTTGGTCCCAAGTATCAGTGTATCTAATTTTTGCTGTTTTTAGACATTTCACTTTTAATTTTGTTTTGTTTCGTTTTAGTTTCTAGGTAGAAGTTTGCATGTTTATAATTCTTTCTATTTATTTTATCCTAAATTTATATTTTTCTTTCAATTATGTTTATTTTCGAATGTACCCTGTAATTTTGGTTATTTGGCAATTTAATCACTTAGTAGGCTTATTTATTCTAATGGGTAATTTTTATTTTGTATGCCTGATTTTGGTTCTCTATTATTTTCTTCCTGTATGGTAGCATTAAATTTAAGATTGAGTTTTAGCAGTAGATTTAATTTTGTTTATAAGTAATGGCATTTATTTTATTACATTGTATGTGGTATGCCCATTTTGTTATACATGTATGTATTATATAATTACATTTTAATTCCAACCTTAAGCGAATGAGATTAATATTATATTTGAAGTTATTAATTGGTTTAGGATAAAAGATATTGGTTGCATGCTAACATAACCATAACAAGTTTAATTTTTTTTAGTATATAGTTACAAGTGCATTTTAGACTCAAATGTTCATTCAAATGTGTTGCATAATCTAATTAGTTTTTGCATGATATCCTCATGTGCATAACTTGACATTATTGCATAATTTGATTAAGGGTAATATCCTTTTAGTTTAAAAACGTTCTAAGTGGGCTGTCTTAACTGATTAGAGGTCCGTTTCTAACGATTTTAAATTAAAAGTGTATCCCATCAGTGACACCTAAGAAATTTATTCATCACTTTAAAATTTGGGGAATGAAAGAAAAAGAAATATTCAGCTATTTAAATCTATCGAGAAAAGGTTGTTATAATTGATTTAAGATCTGGTCTCGGTATTTTTAAATAATCGAATATTCTTCATCTTTGTAAAGGCTGGGTAATTTTAATTTAATATATTTTGGTGCTTTCGAATATGATAAAGTTTGTATGTCGTTGTTTTGTTGGGGATCATAAATCAAATTAAAAATCGAACTTGTAAATTTCATTGCAAAGACGTTAATTGATCGACTAGGTACCGATTTAGGGTGTTGTGGGGGTGCTAATCCTTCCCCACGCGTAATCGACTCCCGAACTTGAATTTTGGTAACGCATACCTAAATTTGTTGTTTTAATTAAAATTAATTTTTTATTTAAAATGGCAAAACATTTTTTGGTGCCCAATCACACTCTAATCAAAGATTGGTTGCGACTCTTCGAACCTTTGTTTTTATTGTGAATGAATTCCCAAATTTTCGAAATGAGAGGTTTTTCTAAAATCACATTGTTTTTAATTAAAAATCAAACATAAAGTGAATAATTAAAGATGACGCGGTTTTTCAAAATCTTGCTCCCACGCTTTGAAAAAAAATCGTTTCGACAGAACCAATAATACTCAAATGTACTAATACGAAAATGCAATAATGCATTAAACAGAATCGATCAATAACCGCTATACTCAATGTTTATGAAGTTCACCTACGACTCTCAATGTACATGTAGTAGGCTTTTTATATTGAAATAGAAGATTGAACATTTATTCAGAAACATTAATAGATGCAAAAATATTATAAAACACATCCATTTATTTCAGGGCAGTTCATACCCTAAAATCATTCGTAAAATCATTTTCATAAAACTTTATGAAAATATATATCATAATGCATTAAAACATGCTTATTAAAAACACTCAAGGTTGACTCATCGTAACTCTTCCTCATATCATATAAGTACATAATAAAGTGCACTCACCTGGTATGCTTACTATCAATATCCGATTACTCTTGAACTTTTTCCTTGCTTTTGATTTGCCTGTATCATGAGTTTGATCACGATCTACACAAGCATTAATACATAGTACATACAAATATATAATACATGTTAGTATTCATACTAACATTTTATACATAATAATAACACTCAAAAGTACTACTATTTACGAATTGTTTTAGAATTCTTTTTAACTTTTCATTTTTACTCATAATGGTCCCTTGCCATCATTTCTTCAATTCAAGTCCCAAATAGCTCAAATAAAATTCCAGCATTTAATTTCTAGTCCAATACCTCAACAATGCCATTATTATCACTTAAGTCACTAACTTTCGTAATATTTACCATTTGGTGCTCAAACTTTGCTAACTTCCCAAAATAGCCTAATTTCACATTCTAACATCAATTTCAGCCTTTTAATATAAAATTCAAACAATGTACATCAACTATTGGGTAATTACACATTTACCCCACAACTTTTCAAAATTAGCAAATATGTCCCTCAACTTTCACAAAATTAGAAAATTGTCCCAAAAATTTTGCTAACGCTTGTAGAATCTTCCAAAAATCATTTATAAGCCATGAAATTTTTTTCATAATTTTCCCCATTTCTTTCCTCAAGGCCAAATGCTCTAGGGGTTGAGATTCCATGATTTTCACTTTATTCAAACATGAAATCAACCTCAATTCAACATTTCAAGACCTCTAAAATTAAATCCCTAACTTAATTTAATGAAATCACAAAGTTTTCCCAATCCTAGGGTTTAGGCTGAAACTACTATGAGCATAAATATGTGGTTTTAATTATCAATCAAGCTTGGAAATGATTCTACAACATCAATAACCTCAAAACTCATCATCATTTTAGAAAACATAACATGTTCATCAACCCTAAAATTTAGGATATTTAAACTCAAGCAAGATTAACATGCAATATTGGTACCAAATGATAGAGCTCATCGACTATAACAATTTTCTATTTCACGTTTTAACCTAAAATCTGAAGGAGATTGCTCAAAAATGAAAAATAAACTTTCTCTCACCTAGGGTTTAAGGTTCACGACAATGGAGGATGATGGAGACCAAGTTTACATGAAATTTATATTTAATTTCATGTTAATTTGCTATTTATTAAGCTTAAATGAATTTAAAATTCATTTAATTGAGAAATGACAATTTTACCATTAATGAAACCTTATATTTACATCCAAACCAAGACACATAACTCTTATCATATTCCCGAAGTTAAATATGAACAAAATATTATACCCTTTACAATTTTGTCCATGCAACTTTCCAAAAAATTCAATCTTGCCATTTTCATCCAACAGTCCAAATTGAACATGTAAATAAATTCTCAAATCAAATGATTCATATTATTCCCCATCATTTTAAAATGTTAAAATAATATTTTAAGCTAAATTTATCATCCTTCAAAATTTTCTCAAAATTTATATTCAATATGATTTACCGAATTTTTACTGGACTTTAAAACTTTTTAGCTTTTAACACAAATTCTGGATCAAGAATATGATTCCTACCAAAACATCATTCTTGGGGGGGGGGGTGTAAACTATTCATTTATGGAATAAAAATTTTTTTAGGAAAATTACTACTTTGTTCCCCAAACCTTTCCTAATTTTATACTTTAACAATTAAACTTTAAAATTTACATTTTGGCCACTAACCAAAATTTGGGATATTTCAATTATCCTTCCCTTAAGAAAAATTCATCTTTGAATTTTAGTACATACTTGATGTAAAGAGGTGTGGATACTGTTTTTTCATGTCATTCTCTCTTTCCTAGGTGGTTTCCTCGACATTGTGATTCCGCCAAAGAACTTTGACTAGAGGGATCATCTTGCTACGTAGTTATTTGAATCCTCGAGCCAAAATCTCTGATATTTCTTCGTTTAGGTCAAATCTGGTCGAATTTCTATTTCCTCCGAGGTGATAACATGCGAAGGATCTGATCGATACTTCATAAGCATCGACATATGAAAAACATTATGAATCTTGTCCATTTTCGGAGGCAATGCTAGCTAATAAGCCAATGTTCCAACTCTTTTGAGAATCTCATAAGGTCCAATAAATCTTGATCTCAGTTTTCCTTTGCGTCCAGACTGCAACACTTTCTTCCAAGGTGATACTTTAACTAATACCTTATCACCTTCTTGACATTCAATTTCTTTTATCTTTAAATTTACGTAAGACTTTTGTCAGTTGAAAGCTATCTTGAGATTATTTTGGATAGCTTTCACTTTAACTTCCATTTCTTTCATCAAATCAGGTCCAACTAGATCTCGATCTTTTAACTCGAACTAATTTAACTGTGTTTAGCACTTTCTCCCATAAATGGCTTCATACAGAGCAATCTTGATGCTTGGTTGATAACTATTGTTGTAGGCAAATTCTGCTAAAGGCAAATACTTTTCCTAAGATCCCTTCATTTCAAGCACACACGCCCTTAGTGTAACACCCATTTCGAGTATACGTTTCCGTACACAAGTCATAGGTGTCACATGACTTTTAAAAAAATATCCAATTTGTAAAACCCATAAAATTTTGTTTCGAAATTTAAAACAAAACATTTTAGTACTACAATAAAACAGTCCTTGTAACATGTGACCAAAGTTATCACTTTAAATACATTCCAGAGCATTTTTCTTAATTTCAATTACATGCCAGCAAATTTTTCAAAATAAACATGACTGTCCTACTGTTACTGATGAGAGTCGACCTTAGATTGACTGCACCCCTTACCCGGCTAGTCTTTGCTTTTGCCTACACGTGAAATCAACACACGTTAAGTATTTACTTAGTGAGACATAATATTATAATGAAACTGCAATTTATACTTAAGTATATCATGGCTATTTAATGACAAATTAAATCGCATACTCCATAAGAATCAGATAAATCCTTCCTAGTTAAACCAGATTTTCTTTCATACAATCATCGAAATTATTCTTAGTATGTCCAACATACCTACCATTCCGTATATTTTTCCCAATTATTCTTTATTTTCCCTATGTATGTTAAATGAGAAAGTAATGTATTTTCATTTGCAGCATCATTTCATGC